TCCCATAAGATCTCTATTGCAAAATCAAATAATTTTGTCAACAGTTTACACGGTTTTGTGTTCCTGAAATCCTTTTGAATGCTTTAACTTGAACGTGTTTTTCAAGGTCTCGAAAACAAAAATGCTAGATTTTTGTAAAAAGTGTTTAAATGTAATTGAACCCGCTATCCATCGTCATTTTGTGCAGTTTTACTGATCACTAAAGCATTAGTGATCTCTGGTGAAACCTAATCTACTTGTTTGCTGACAGGATGAGATGCCTGCAGTAATTCCAGGTTTGTGTTGTCCACACTGCCTTCCTCGTCCAGCAACCTGCATCGCCTTTGGTGACCCTCACTACCGCACCTTCGATGGACGTATGTTTCACTTCCAGGGTACATGCACATATATCCTGACAAAGGATTGTAAAGATGAAGACTTCAGGTGAGAGGATGATGAGTTTTTTATTCATAGACCCATATCCCAAGCCTTGAATATCCCACAAAGAGCAGCATGCAGTTAACCTTTTGGGAATTTGATGAAAACATGACAAGCCTTCAGAGACATGGCTCTACACTCATACTGACAGGCTGGGCAAAATGAGCAGAATCAGAAATATGTTAAGAGAATTAATAGAATATCAGTGACTCATTATTTTTTGTGCAGTGTTCATGTTACAAATGATGATCGTGGGCGTAAAGGAGTGTCCTGGACTAAGGAGGTGACCGTCTTTATAAGTGGTGTTGCTGTGCAGTTGCTCCAAGAATTTGTTGTGAAGGTTTGTGTTTTCAAAAAGCTGAAAGTTGAAAACTTTTGTCAAACATGTTCATTCAACTGTGCTTCTGTTCTTCAGGTGAATGATGAGGTTGTGACTTTGCCTTTTCTAAGAGAGCCGTATATCTTTATAGAGCGGCAAGCCAACACTGTCCTCCTCAACACTAACATTGGATTAAAGGTACAGTTGTACCTCAAATCTACTGTAAATGTTCAATCAATAATGTTCGATATATAAAGACAGGGTTATATATCTGGTGGTCCTTCCAGGTGCTGTGGAGTCCCCGTTCACACCTGGAAGTGAGCGTGCCAGGCTCGTACAAGGAACGCACCTGTGGACTTTGTGGAAATTTCAACAAGTATCCCCAGGATGACCTCCAAATGTCCACCGGCAAACTCACCACCTCAGAATCTGACTTTGGCAACAGTTGGAGAGTATGTTTAATAGACTGAATCAACATATAAAACTCAAAAATGGCTGTCATATAAAAGCAGGTTGTCTAACTTGCATATAAAACCTCTCATTTAAGACGACAAATGGAAACCATTCACTCTTATCCTGTCGACCTGGACAAGATGTCGATCCCTGTGCTGGATACCAGGCCAGGAAAGGGGCTAACGCCCGCTGTAAAGTTCTCAAGTCTACAGTCTTCAAGCCCTGTCACCGTGTCGTTCCACCTGAACCGTGGTATGGCGCCTGTGTCTATGACCTCTGTGCGTGTGGGGCCAATACTGATGAGTGTCTGTGTGACGCACTGGAGGCCTACGCCAGCCAGTGCAGAGAAGCAGGAGTCATCCTGCAGTGGAGGAGCACATCACTCTGTGGTGAGTAAAATGTAATCTTTAATCATTCCTGCTCAGTCATAAAAATGATTTGGGACAGCTTTCAGGGCCTTTAGACATTCGCTGTTTGACTGCAAATCAATAAATTAGGTGTCCGTAAGATTCGGTAGATACGTCCATCCTTTAAAACAACAGACATCACATTGTTCCCTGTTTCTCATTATTTTGTTTCTTTCCCTCTTTCTTCCCCAGCTGTGGGCTGTCCTGCGGAGCGAGGCTTTGTGTTCGACGAGTGCGGCCCACCTTGTCCCGTAACATGCTTTAATGTTGACGTACCACTGGGAGTGATAGAGAGCCACTGCTTCAAGCCCTGTGTCCCAGGCTGCCAGTGTCCTGCTGGACTGGTTCTCCATAACAACTACTGCATCCAGCCAGAAAAATGCCCCAAGATCATTCATGGCAGCGCTTTGTGATGCTACAACTATTGATTCATGTCTACAAAGATGCACAAAAGCTCACTCTGCTGCCTCTTTGTTGGCCCCAAAATATATCTGATATATATATATATATATATATATATATATATATATATATATATATATATATATATGTGTGTGTGTATGTGTGTGTGTGTGTGTGTGTGTGTGTGTGTGTGTGTGTGGTGTGTGTGTATGTGTGTGTGTGTGTGTGTGTGTGTTTTGTCTAAAGATGTAAACATACTGACTGATGATAATTGTGTTTTTATAACTAGCACTGAATACTTAAACCACAGATATTTTTCCTACTAAGGGTTACACTTTTGCGAGGCATTTTTTATAAATATTCAAAAGTGTTAACATTAGTAAAAGCACTTGTTTTTCATACAGATACAAATGTGCAAAGTCTGACTGTATGTACCATGGGCTGCATAATCTCAGGTTCAATTCATTTTGTAATTTTCAAATAAATAAAATTCTGACCATTATTTTTGTTTCCTTTTCAAATTAATTTGCTGTTTGAGGATCAATTTGTCCCTAATATATTGTATCTCACATAACTGAGGAAAGATCCAATTCAGATGACAGAAATTAAATGTTTCATCCGAAAAGATTTGCAAAGGTATTTAGAGGAAGTTACATTAATGAGACCAATAGGAATCAGTGTTTTGCTGTAAAAGTATTTGTTCTTATGTCCTTTCATTTCCTTCTTTCTTTCTTTCATTGGGATCTCCTTCACTTGCAGTTCTCTGCATCTCCTCTGCATGGGCCCACACATTCAACATTAACTACTAAACATACATAACATAAAAATGAGAGCCTGGAAACAACAAATTAACAGGAACACATATTTTTAAATTATCGTTACTATTTATTTTGTTATACAAGCATTCAGTCTTGCCTACAGGCATATCATAGCTGGTTGTCTACATGTCCCAGGACAATTTTGCTTAACAAAAAAGATATCTTAAGATAATATAAAAAAAAAGATTATTTTTGATTAAGATATCAAAAAAGATATCTTAAGATGATTAACTTTTTTTGTAAGTTAAGCTCTGCCAGAAAAGTTCTTTTCTCTTCGATGTTGCGTCATAAAAATTAATTTAATATGTTAAATTAATTTGTGTTGAATGTTGGCATTACAGATGAGGTACAGTACAAGAGAATTGGTTTGTTTTCTGTGTTTTTGTGTCACATTTCACTCTGCTGTGTCTCCCTGTGCCATAAACACGGGCACTTTTGTTTCTTGGCGAACTGATCCGGCTGCTGTAACCTTAGCGATATTCTGTATAATTCATTAGCCTGTTGTGCGGAAAACATGGAGGAGGTAAGATGTTTCATCACTGTGTCAATGCTACGTTTGTTTTTCCTGCAAATGTCTTAGCTTGTACTCTTGCAGGATATTATTCCTGCTCTTCACCAGTGTCTCGGCATGTCTGCTGGAGCAGAGTTTTCCACTGAAGACATTAGTATTCTCTTCTGCAAAATGTTTCATGTGCCCTCGAGCAGAAGTGAAGCTGATGCAGCCATGAAAAAGGTAACAATTCTTATATTTAATAACAAACAGCAGTTTACTCATGTGTCCCCACAGAATACTATAAACTTGGGGCAACTGAACATCACTGAAAGTAATTCAAGTATTTTATTATGCAGCAAAGAAAGAAGAATGAATACACAATACAGAATTACTTATTCATAAAGAGTAACTTCAGGGATTAACCCTGTCATCCATTAATTATGTTAACTTCACTTTCCTCCTGAAATGTTCTCAATCGTCTTTAGGCTTTGACATTTTTTTTAGTTTTCAGTTACTTTTCAAAGGGGTTTTCACACATCAGGCAGACAACATGTATTAAGAAGTAGAAATATGTAGGTGACAGACAAAATTACAATGAAGCATATAGATTGAAAACTATGCTGTGAAAATGTTGCTAAGATTTTTTATTAGCAATCAAGAAAACTTTACAAGATTTGTAAAATCAAGGAAAATGACTCTTCACCCTGACCCGTCTACATGCACCTATTTTATTTGATAGAACGGATGATTGATGTTTATTTATGATACACATAGCTTAAATATTGCTTTAAATCGCCTATGTTGCAGTTGATGAATTACAATTACCGGTCCATGATTTTTACCTTTTATCATAAAAACAAACAAAACAACAAAATAACATGCAACAATACTTTTTTGTCAGAACTGTTTGTGTTTTAGTTTGCAGGAGGACACAAAAGCTGGTCCTGTACTGGTGCAAATGTTTTGGATGTGCTCCTTGAAATGGAAAGGGCGAAGGAAAAGAATGAAATGGTACAATAATTCATCTTTCTTTGTATAGATCTGTTTCCTGATATTTTTATTTGGTACTAAGAAGAGTTGCCATTTCTGCAGCTTTACTGGGACTGCCAGCTTCTTAATTGTGGAAATCTTCATCAGATGTTGCAAAAGTTACCCCAAAGAAATGACTCAGAGTTTTTAAGAAGTACTTTCAACTCTGTGTCAGGACTCCCACAGCCACAAACAGCTGAAAAAGACATTTTCCAGGTAAGTGACTGGCTGCAACTAGTCTTGGACAGAAAGCCAGCACTTTTTTTGCTCTACTATTTCTCAAATTTTATATTTGATACACAGAGTGAGAAAGTGCTGGAAAAAAAGCAGCTCCGCCAAACAGCCACAAGCTTGAAGAGGCTCCAAAAAGCCGTCAAGCAGTGCTGGGCCAGGTGAGCATGCTTCAGCATGTTTTGAAAATGATTCTCTTTTGCAGTGACAGTATAGGCATGATGCAATATAGACATTGCAAATTTTACATTTAGGGACATTGCTGAATATTCTACTGCGAACAACAAGGTCTAAGTACCATCGAAAATATTTAACCCTTTTCGTCCATGATGTAATGATGTGCTTCTTTTATGTATTTTTGTTGTCTAATTGTCTTTGTTCCTCCTCAGGTTGGCATCAGAGGGCATTAGCAGCATTTTGCCCTCCCCCTTGTGTAACCAAAGGTTGGGCCTCAGGGGTCAGACATGGGGCTCTGTCTCCTTGTCAGATGTCCTCCTTCTAGTGGAAGTGAAATATGATGTGGTGACTCGCTTGCTTTACACAGAAATGCTTCAGGAGCACTACAGTAAGGGCATGTCACTCTGACCTGAGCTCACAATAACCCCGAATAATGCCTGTGACTTCCCAGTCCTGACGATTACTTTGTCAGCATTGTGCATGGTGCTCCAAATGTGTTCCTGTTTCACATCTGTTTCTGGTGATTCCTCAGCCCAGAGTGTTTGGGAGATGCTGCTTCCCTGGCAACAGAGAAAGGAAGTGGAGGCACTGGAAACTATGGCCGAGGAAGTTTTGCAGTCTGCTGACATGCTGGGCTTGGTTTTCCTGCCTGGAGCGTTCAGGATATACAAGTAACCCACAACCACAAAGTTTGTAAATACACCAGTGTTCACTGGAGGGTTCTCTCCTCCAGTTTCCAGAATTGAAAGCATGTTTCCCCTCAGAAATCAAACCAAATCATTAGAAATCTGACCTGTGAGGATAGCGTTAAAATTTAAATCTGATGGCATATCATGCAAACATCTATCCATGGTTGTGACAAATATCGACATTATTCTGATTGGCATGTATTAAAAATGCTAGTTTATTTACTAATTTTTACGAGTTTTGAGGGTAATTCTTATTTTTATGATTTATTATTTGATAAGGAGAAATGTTAAAATGTTGTAATTCATTGAATTATGGTATTTTATGTCAAAAAATATGTTTTGGGTAATTTTTTAGAACATTAAAACAAAATAAAAGATGGTAAAAATTAGGTAAAACCCTGTTGGACTCATTTTTAAGAAACATAAGTTTTCTTTTATTGTATATGTCTATATTTTCCTGCAGAACAAGATGTTCAGAGTTAAGGGAAGAATCATGTTCAGCAGTTGCTCTCCTGAATGAGTTGCACACTTTTTGTCAACAAGAACAAAATCAGCTGACAGTCCTGGGTCAGAGGTGACAACAGACTTTTTATCCATGCACTTCTTTTTTGAGGAGTTGTTTGCAAATACATTTTACTCACATGCAGCACATTACAAAAGTATTCATAGAGCTTATAACAAAAGGAGAGGAAACATATGACATGACAAAATGTTAAAAAAAAAAAAGAAAAAAATAGTAATATAAAAACTCAAATTATATTGCTTGCATAATCTTGGATATATGTAGATCTTGCCTGGACAGGAATTAATTCACTTTTCTTTTCTTTTTCCCAGACTGTGTGACAAAAGTTTGAGGCTTTTGTGTCTCCATGTCTTTCTGGCGATTTACAGAGCTCAGAGGGAAAAACAATCTCACAGAGCTCTGCTGGCATCTCGTCAATCCTGGGAGTCATGGTGAGTTTACACAACCCACAGGATTTGTCTCCAGCCTTCTGTGCAGGCACTCTTACAGCTCTTCCTTATTTTTAGGCCACAGGTTCTCAGTCCATGTAGAGCAGAATATGTCACTCTGCTGCTACAGAATGAAGACAAAGGAGAGGAAGGAAAGGAGGACTTGGAAACAACACAGCATGTATTTCAAACTACAGACAACAGATAACTTCTCTCTATTGTTTACTTCAAGCATCTGAAGGACAGTTGTTTCTTTATTTGCACCTTTGATATCAGCTAAAGGTCTATTTTTGTATGGATTAGTTCAACATTAATGGTTTACACAATGTAAGTCTTATCTCTAGATATCATCAGGAAGAATGTTATGCTTTGTGGGGTGCAAGATTTGTCTAAAAGAAAGTGCTGCAGATTATTTTCTTATCAGTAACAAAACTCAAACTTTATCAGAGGACAGAGCTACAGCTACTTGTGCTGACTCAGGAAAAGGAGAGGAAGCATCTGCTCACGTTGCTGCACAGGATCTCCCTAGAGGATTTACAAGAGGCAGGCTGCGCAATACCTCCAAAAGATAGTAAGTATTGGTTTGTTTTCTTTCCAGTATTTTTTCCCTCTCTGCTCATTGCTACAACTAGCTAGAATCCTCATCATTTACATTCACTCCTCATTTATATGAATCAGTTTTAGAATTTTAATAATGAATGATAACCATCTTCCATAATAATTAGGTGCACAACTTTAGATACTTTGTGGATTTTGCCCACCTTTTTATGAATCAAAGCTTTAAATACAGGCTCAAATGCATAACCAGACACATTCCTTGACACATTTCAGAGGAACCAGAAAGCTTTATAGTCATCAAGTCCGATATGTTATCCTTTCTTTTATCTGAAATGTAAGCGCTCATCTCAATGCATTGGTTTTCTGGCACTCTCTTAAAAAAATTAATTCTTTCTCCAGAAGGCAACTGCTGTGTTGATTAAATTACCAGCAGCTACACATTTCGCTTGAAGGAACGTTTTCATAAGCAGTGCTTCCTTCTTGGATTAAATCATTTCAATTCATGCAGGTGTAACAAATGATGTCACTTCACACTGATTTGCTTCAGAATCTTTCAGTTTATAACTGGCTTTAGCCTTTATAGTTCCTGGGTTGCTACTGAACATTGTAACCAGTTCTCCTGAATTCTTTGGGTGATAGTTTGGGTCACATGGTGACATGTATGTTCTGACAGGAAAATGATACCAAATAAACATTGAAACTAGTGTTGAAGTTCTTCAATGGGCTTCCTGAAGTTCTGACATCTTATTTATGGCTTGCAGATGGTGGCTTTGATGCCGACCAAATCTCCTTGAGGGCTGGATGCATAAAAAGACTAAATCAAATCCATGCTCAGCTTCAGACACAGAATGGAAGCGAGAACAGCTCAAAGCAAACCAGCATTCAGATGCAGGGAAAATGGTCGCAATCTCTGCTGGAGGACTGCAACCTGCTCCTTCTGATGCATCTGATGGAGCTTCAGGAGGGCCAAGCTTCAGCACTCCTGCAAGTGCTCCTGCATCGGGTGAGTGTAGCCTGTGTCCAGTGCAAGGGACAAATATTAAGGCATGATAACTGACATAATAACAGGGTATGTTTTGTTAGAATTCACAGGCAGCCCAAGCTCTGAGAGAAAAATATGAAGGTGAATTACAAACCCAACGCTTCTCCAACCTGCTCCATCTCTTGATGTCTGATGATCCTCTAATCCCTGGCTCTAAGTTGACTGAAAACATCAACAATGAGCAGATCACACCTGAATCACCCTGCACAGAAGAAGTTGAAAACATTTATGCAGAATCAGTTCCCACTACAACTACTGACTTAACTAATGAACACAGCAGGGAGCGTGTAGAAGTCCCAACTCCTGGAGGTTCTGCTAAACAAGAAGTCTGCTCAGGTATCTGCATCGCAAGCACGATCAAAACCAGAAAGCACACTTCCAAAGGTGAGGCTATGATTTGTTTGGATACATTCAGGTTGTGGGGCAATCATGGAGGAGCTACCCTATTTGGAGATCCTGTGTGTGCCTGATGCGCAGGCCAATGCTCCAAATCCAGAGGCTGGAGAAGGTAGGGAAGAAGAAATAAACACAAATCTTGAGAGTTTTGATAAACAGGGATCCTTGATCCCCCTTGCTTGGAGCAAACCTCTGGAGGATGATGCAGACCATAAGGCAGAGGAGGGAGATGGAGAAGCTCAAAAGTGTCAGGACACCCTGAGCAGTCTAGGAACCCCAGCCCAGTCCACGCAATATGATGAGGATCAAAAGAGAGACAGCAAACAGGTGGACACTCTGGCTGAGTATGATACACAGTTTGCAGATCAGCAGTTGAAGAAAGTAGAGGTACTGCATTAGCAGCATGCCAAATTACATTGTCACTGTTGTGTATTTGATTTTCTCCTCCTTTGTTTTAATTAATTGGCCTTGAACCAGAATCCAATCCCAGACCAACCAAGTGAAGGAGAAGCTGCAACTGAAATTGATCCACGCTCACTTGCAGAAAACCTGCTGGAGGTACAGCCGCGTGTTTCTAGGGATTCCTTCGGCTGCATTGCTGATGGAGCATCTGGTCACATGGTCAGCACCAGCAGAGAGATGAACGAGTCTGAACTCTGGGACATCGGAGGGTCAGAACTCTCTGATAATGAGGAAATGATTCATTCTCAAGAATCAACAGTAATTCGTTTTTTGTTTGTTTTGTCAACAGTGCATAACTTTGTCACTGGCACAGTTCCAGTCAGACGTTTACATACTGTCATGGCCATGAATAGCATGTTCACTGAAGCTGTTAAAGACTTAGCTGAAATTACTTTTAAGATGGACTGCCTAAACATTTAATATAATGTCATTGTTTAAAAAAAAGTTGGCACGAGTCGCCTTTCTTTCGTGACAGAAAATGGGGTGCCAGACAACACACTATTCAAACAAATTTTGGGTGCATATGATTTAGGCTATAAATACAGGTCCAAATACATACATACTTAAAACTCATTAAAATTTGGTTAAACGTCCCTTGGTAAATTACAGGTAAAGCACACACTCCCACTAAATAAATTAGGAAATTATTAAAAATCAATTTATTTTAGTCACTAAGTGAAGCATAATTACACAAAAAGTTTTCAAGTCTTCATTTCAGCTAATATTGATTTCATGCTGACAGCACATAAATATCTGTTTGTGTAGCAGATAGCGTCCAGTCTCTCTGGAAGAACCACGATGTTGGAAACGGCTCAATTGGAACAGGAAGAACTGATGAGAGATCAAGTGGCAGCAGTGGAAAGAGAGAGAACCATGCGCAGCCTGGTGGACATGCAAAGAAAGTTTGAGGAGAAACACCAAAGAGACAAAGAGAGACAGATGTTTAGGGTGAGAGCCGCAAACAGAAAGACACTGAAAGTGCCTTTCAGACACAGATGTGCACCAATGTTGTTTTTTTCAGGTTCAGGAGCGTCTCTCCATCATCCTCAACAGAAAAGCAGAAGAAGACCTGCTTGGCCTTAAACACACAGACAGGCTAAAGCATCTCACGCAAGATCTACCGCTGGTAACAAAATAACTCGAAGCTCACTATAACGTCTGATACGTTGTGTATAATTACGGTGTCACATGTTGTGTTGAAGGAGGACAAGACTCAGCAGAAGACTGTTGTGAAAGAGCGACTGGAGCAACTCAGAAGAGAGCGCTCCTATATCATGCAGTCAAAAAGAGATAGGTAAACAGCACTGCTTTGAAGTAAACAATAAGAGCAGTTTTAAATTGCTATGCTCTTGCATCCTTTAGGAATACTGCAGGATTTAAGGAACTTCTCGCTCCTGTTGCTGTGAACAACGAGATGGAAGATGAAGCAAGCTGATCTACAGATGGTTTAAGTTGTTTGGTCCTAGCGTTATCAGTGTTAACGCAAAGTATTAAAGAAATATTTCCGTGCCGTAAAAAAGCCTCACAATGTCACTGAATTTGCTTTTACATAGCAGATGCATGGTTCAGATTACCGTAATTTAATATCAAAGATAATGTGGGTAAAATACAAAGTTCAATAATTTTTTTTTACAAACAGTAAAAACATGTGAAAATGTGCCCCTAAAAAGCCTAGTTTTAAATGCTACCTGCTTACAATTCCATAAAATGACAAGAAATGTTAAATCTCTTTAAAGAAATGTTTGCTCTCTGTTCTTTCCAGAATCTTTAATCCACATAGGAGGGGTTTTGAGAACACGTCCAGGCATAGTTCACTTCCAATTTCTGATTATTGCTGTTGTTTAACAATTCAGAGATGGACTTGAAAACTTTTACCTGGGTTAAAAGAAGTTGAACTTTGTGTCACAAAAGAATAGTTATTTTGTAGAACAGAATTCATTGCCTGACAGATTACAGCCAATCGTTAAGGCAGCCACACAGACCACCATGGTAAACTGTTGGGATGAAAATAATGTGTTCAGGTGAGCCACATTCCAAAAGGTTCCAATTTTTTATTCGTCAATCCACCGATTTTCATGCCAGTCTCAGAAATCATTCAGGCATTTATTTTTTTGTTAAACGTGAGAAAATACTTGATGTTGTGTATTCAGTTTATCTTTGAGGATGAATTCAGTTTGAAGATCTGACGCCTTTAAGTCTTACCAAAGAAGCAAGAGAAAAAATCTGCATGGGCCAAAATGTTTTCATTTAACTTCATAAACATTTTCAAAGTTCACGGCGCATTTGGGTACAATTATTGATTTCATTCGAGACTTGTCTCCGTCTTTGTAAAACGAATTAAGTCAGTGGACTGTGACTGAATAGACTGAGATTCACATATGCAGTTTAATATACATTTTAATTATCACTTTGACAACCATAAGCATTAACAATAATGAAATTTCACTATAACCCCCTTCACCTGTGCACAATATCCCAAGAAGCCAAAGTTACATACACAATGAGTCAGAGAGGTGCATGTAAACATCCAAGAGTGGCTCCAGTTAACTTTCTTCATGAGAACGTTTACATTTATAAATTGACCATTGCTTAATTCTGTGAGAAAGTGTTGTAGCTGCAGAATGACGCCTCTGTAAACGTTAAATGGACCCATTAACTGGTACTGTTTCTATTTACAGATATGAGAATGAAAATGTTGTATCGTGTGATGGGACGTTGGTTTGGCTAGTAACCGTACAATAGGAAGATGTCTATAGAGAAGGTTGAGTTTGTGCCAAGCAGTTTTCCTACAATGCGGTTCAAGTAAGAAGAGGGAAAGAAGTACATTTGAGATTTTCTAGAAACTTTTTTTTCATCCTACTCTCACTTTATTTGATGTCCAATCTGACTGCAGCAACACCAACCAGAGAAATAAGTTAGAACATTCCGAAAAAGCTCCAGCACTGAGCCACCGCATTTAAAACAAAAGTGTCAAGTCTAAAACGCATAACTTCAAGGTTTGTCGTTTCAAACACGCAAACATTCACACCAATGAGATAAAGAAGTTTATACTTCACTCAAAGGGAAAAAGAACAATATTGGTGTGTCAGGTGCTCAGGGTTTTCAAATCGTTTGCAACAGCTAGAAACCTAAAAAAAAAAAATAATAATAATAAAGCACAAGCAAATTACAGTTTCAGCACACAATAGTACAACCTGAAGTTAAACTATCATATTAATTAGAGGTTGGTTAAATATTTAGAAATCTAATCAGATTAGCTTATGTGGCAGCGGGACTTTTGAATATAATTTTATAAAGGGAGGTCATGCTCATCGGCAAGAACTGGCATCTATTCCTTTATAACTGAATCACACCTCAACTCAAAATAGTCAATATTTGCAGCTTGTAGACTCGACTGTTGTACACAGAAAAAAGATAAAGCTTAGGATGAAGACAGACTTCCTTTCTGGAAACATTTACAAACTTAAAAAACATTCATCACTCAACTGCGATCTCTGGGGAGGTGTTGGAACCATGGAACTGAGGGGGGAGCCTTATTTACTTTTTATAAGGGATTTTGTGCATCACCTTATCACTGGAGGCATGAAAAGAGAAGTGTGTGTGTGTGTGTACGCGTGTGTGTGTGTGTGCGTGTGCATCAGGTCTCAAGTAGTGCTAGCAATGGAACTTGAAGGGTGTTTATGTGAAAGTCTATGTATGAGTCCTTCTACTGGTGCGCGCACTGCACCCCGGGGCCGTGATGGCCCCCTTCATCATCAGAACTATCATTATACGCCTCTCTCCTGCCTCCACTGCCAGACCCTTGACTTCTGTCAAATTCTGCAAGATCAACTTCTTCAGCATCTGCAGCGATGTCAGGATTGTCAGCTCGGGCTGGAAGAAGGTTCTCCAAGTCCTTAAAGAGACATCAAAAACACAAATAAGTGATATCTCTGAACACCATTTCATTATAAAGAGCATAAATGCAGAAGTTCTTCGATGGAAGCTCACATTGAGTTTTTCAGGGCTGATCCAGTTGTTTTCTGGGAACTGAACATCAAACTTGATGTAAAGATCTCCTTTTTCAAATGGATTTCTGTACTGAGGCATTCCCTCTCCTTTCACCACTCGAATACACCCTTAAGAAAAAAAAAGTGATTTAAAATCAATCAGAAGGAAAATATAAAGATTTAGAATCTTAGATATTGCATGAACTTGTAATTTAAGAGCAACACATACAAAGCTTCAAGTTAAGGGTTGAATATATAAGAAACAAGATGTTCTCATAAAAATGCCACTTGCAACTTTTCAATAAAGTCTTATTGAAGGGCAGGACAATAAATCAATAATATATATCACAATAGACAAATAATTAATATAAAGAGAAAATATATCTGATAGAATATTCAACAACTTCAATGAACTCCACAACTGCACATAATTGTGGGGGTTGCAGGCAGAGTTTAAACCTCTCAACCCGTCTAGGCCAGCAAAGCAAGGTTGGTGGCATCAACTAGCCACTCACTGTTGTTTTCTAGCAACAACCTGTTGAGTAACTTGCTCAGTAGCAGTATAAGGTTTCGCCATCGTCTCTCATAACTGCTTTAAAAAAGGAACAATTTGGAGTAAAAATTGTGGTAACGCCACCATTAGGTAGCATTCGTATATGTGAAACAAAAAATAATAATTGTCAATTTCAGCTGATATGTAAATCTTATAGCGATATGTATTAGCGCCTCTGATCTTTTCATTAACTGGGCAGCTTCACTATTCTTGCTGAAGCATCACCAGAACATTATGCTGCCACCACCCTGGCTGTAGTGTGTTCAGGGTTATATGAAAGATTGCAGATGGCAAGAGATATACTTTTTTTTTTTTTTTACCTGGCTCGATGACTTTGCCAGGTGGATATTTGACCAGCAGCTGACGTCCATCCAAGTGTGTGATGGTGATCTGGAAGCCACACAGAGCTTCGACAAGGCCAATGCGCTGGACCATGTGAAGGTCACTGCCATCACGTCGGAACTCCTGTTTAAATTAAAACGTTTTTCAATTTGATTTATTGGCAAAGATTTATCAAGCAGAGCAATGATGATTTAACTTCGAAACCTTTAGCAGTAACAAAAGGTCAGTTATAAATGTTTTGAGTTTACCTCATGGTCTTTCTCTTGAAGTACCAGAACGATATCTCCTGGTTCAACACCTGGTGCTTGGTCAGCTTCCCCAGAGAATGTGATCTTCTGGCCGTGCTTCATGCCTTTGTCCACATGAACCTCCAGAAGTTTTGTCTCCTTGCAAACCTTCTGACCCTCGCACTTTCTGCAGCGGTCCTTCTCATTTATCACCTCGCCTGGACAAAAATACACATGCATACTTTTCAAAAAAAAAAAAAAGTACGGCTCTGGTTTTCTATTGACATCATTTATCTCTGTAGGGTATTGGGAAATGTGTTTGTGTTGAAGTGTTACCTTCTCCGTTGCAGTCGGTGCAGACAGACTGCATTTGCTGCACCATCCCTGGAGCCAGCTGTCTGATCATGATTTTCATTCCTCTTCCTCTGCATGTCACACACTTCTGTACTGCTCCTGCCTTACCCCCTTGTCTACAAGTCAAAAGGTACAAATAAGCAACATTATTATCAGTACTCCACACATTACACTCTTAAAAATAAACTAAGAAAACTGAAATTGTACGTTCTTCTGCGAAGAGAATAAAAAATATGTAGATTATTCTGTATGAACAGACCACTTGATTTAGAAATGAGCAGGTGATTATTCTGGTTTTGCTGTTGTAGCTGTGTATCTAAATAATTTATACAAAAATACATGTCGATCATATTATTATTGCAGCAATAATGTAATATAACCATCATAATCAATGCTTGTTGCTTTTCTGTTTCAAAAATTTAAAAAACTGATAAAATAATATACATAAAAATTTGTGAAATAATACAGTTTTTTATTTATTTATCTGAAGGTTATCATATTAAGAGAATAACAGCCCTGGATGTTGATTACAACAATGATTCTCTCATATGCATTTGACCAATGCAATCTTTGTAATGAAACTGTTCAAAAAAATTGAAAGGTGAAAAATATGGAGGAAGAAAAAAGTTACTGTCCTAACTATGGAGCTCTATATATTTATAAAGATGTTGAGAAAGGTTTTAAACAGTCAGGCTTACAAATGTAAAATGAAACAAATGAACTTACCCATTGCAAGCGCTACATAACACATTCTTACTCAGCTGCAGCTTTGTAGTTTTTCCATTGTACAGGTCTTCGAGAGAAACTCTGAGACATAAAGGGTTTCAGAGAATATTATGTAATGATGGAACAACTTACTGTAGCTGTCAAAATAATTGGAAAATGTAAAATACGCACTTCAGAGGATGCACCATGTCATCTCCTCTCCTCTTGCCTCCATTGCTTCGATTTCCCCGGCCGCCCATGAACCCGAAGAGTCCTCCGCCAAAAATGTGGGAGAAGATATCATCCATGCCGGGGCCGCCGCCGCCTCCCTCCCTAAGACCCTGCTCTCCATAGCGGTCATAAAGCTCCTTCTTCTCAGGATTTGTCAAGACTTCATAAGCGAAACTTATCTCTTT